TGCATGCTGGTAAACTGAAAGCGAACATCAACTTTCAAAAATAATTTATTTCTTGCCTTTAGTATAACTATGTCTTAAAATTGAGCTGATTTCAAAATAAGCATCTAATATCAGATTACTCTATCCCTACAAGCACATGATCAAATCAAGAAGCCAGCACTTCCAAAAGAGGTCAGTGCCCTGGCCACTCAAGGATACACTGGAGTCACAGAACACTTCTCCCCTTACTTTCATGAGGCTAACTTAGGCTCACATTAGGAGGAGCATCTGTTCAAGTGTTTTTTTCATGATCAAAGTTAACAGGGTGAACACTTGTGCACACTTTAGTTATCAGAGAAGCGCAAGGACCTTTGTGTTCCAGAGTGGGTGGCAATGCAGAGAACAACATTGTCTTTTTTTGCAAGATGCAGAGATGCCAAGAAAACTTTGCGAGAAGTAAAACTTCTGAAGACTCAGTTGTGTCTTTGTGAGACAGCTTGGGGTTAACTATGTCCCACTCTCTCACAGCCTCAGGCTTGGAGATACGGTACACCTATCTCCCACTTCTGTCTGATTAGAAAATGACTTGGGAAACAACCTTTCCTCCAGGTTACAGAGGCACTTCTAGAAGCACTTCTTCCAATGCTAGAAGGGACTTGACTTTGATTGGCTACTCATTGATGTCTTTTGAGAACGATATTCAAGATGAGATGACAGAATTACCTGAATAGTCCCCTACAACCAAAAAATAAAAAATTGCCCCTTCATACTAGGTGAAAGAAAATCAGAATTCTTCAAGAAAAAAAGTGGAGTTTTTTGAAAATGAAATATATTTTTTTCAAATGAAAGTATTTCTCAAGCTTATCCTATTTAGCTTGAGAATGCCATGCTTATGCCACAGGGCCAAAGTTCAATGGTCCATATTGAAACACCTGATCTACATTCAAAGCTTTTCTTTGTTGTTCCTACAAAGTTCACTGCAGAGGAGGACCTCTATTTGAAAGGCAAAAAGCAGCTAACACTAAATAGGTGATCTAATTTATCTCAGTATCTCCACTTGCAAAGATCTTCTACTGCAAAAGGGGAGTTTGCTGCTGCTGGGTCTCACTACACAATCCCGTAAGACTTATAAAGAAACATCATACTCATGAAGCTTGAGACATACAGCCCTCTGACTAAAACAAAGATCCTTCAGAAATGATTTTGTTTTACTCCAACTCTGTGCTTCGCTCTAAGTTCCACTGTTCACTGGACAGCATCGATAATCTGAACAAGGAGGCTGGCAAAGACACTCACTGTCAGCCCCACAGTGCTCTCCATTTGAACTCCTCAGCCCCTGAATTCCTTTCCAAAGCTGCAGCCAGTAGTGTATTTCCACATCTGTCAGTTGCCTTAAACTAACAATGCCAAAGCATACAAAGCGTTGCATAGACTGACATAACTTGTGCACATAGGAGTTTTGAGCTGCAGACTTGAATCCTAACTGCCTAGGAACTGACAACACAACAGGAAGCATTATGCCCCTCCACAGTGAAGGATCTTCAAAACTCATTAGCACTGAATACAGACATCTGAAGTGCGTTATTTGAAGCTGGACTCTTCTCTGCATGATCTGTCAAATCTGATCTTATTTTAAATTGCAGCTCCTAGAGCAGAGGACTCCAAATACCTAAAATTAGCCAAGACTTAACATGCTAGCTAAAATCTAAACTAAGTAATGTTAGCAACTACTCCTGAAGCATTTTCTTTAGTAAATCAGA